TTTGCTGTCAAGATCTGAAAGGAAACGAGCCTGTCAGGAGCGGGCTTGCTTCCAGCCTCAATGTCTTTGTTTCCTAAAGCCCACTCACTCCTTGACTCTCTCCCATGGCTTGCCTCTCACTATGCAGCCGGAACTGCTTTTGCCATGGTCACCAATGACCTCCAAGTTGCTTGATTTAATAAGCATTTTCCTGTCCTTAAGAACAAGATTGGCCGGGCCCGGCAGCTCACGTCTGTAATCCTAGCACTTTGGGAGGCTGAGGCGGGCAGATCATAAGGTCAAGAGATCAAGACCATCCTGCACGGGTTTCTATTAAAAATACAAAAATTATCTGGGCGTGGTGATGCGTGCCTGTAGTCCCAGCCATTCAGGAGGCTGAGGCAAGAGAATCACTTGACCCGGGAGGTGGAGGTTGCAGTAAGCTGAGATCAGGTCATTGCACTCCAGCCTGGGTGACAGAGCGAGATTTGGTCTCAGAAAAAAAAAAAAAAGAGCAAGTTTATTGACCAGAATTTCATTCTAAAACACCAAGATCTCCATCACTGTCGCCACATACTCTCTGGGTTTTTCTCCTACCTTGAGGACGATTTTCAATGGGCTCCTTGGCTGGCTTTACTCACTGCTGACACAATGAATGCTGAGGTGCTTTAAGGTTCTGGCCTGGTCTTCTTCCTTCTCCAAACTTTTCCTGTGAGTGACTTCACCCAGTCAACCCTGTATGGTTTGAAAATCATATACATCGTGATTTATATTTCCAAATCACTTCCCCAAAGTTCCAGTCTCATAGGCAAAAAAGTGCTTACTCAATGTCTCCAATTTGATGGCTACCAAGCATTTCAAAATTGATGTGTCCTAAATGGAACATTCAATTTTCTCTCCCCTTCCCATCTCAAAATGTCCCTGCTTCTTTACACCATCTCAATATATTACACCGTCATATATCCATCTGTTCAAGCCCAAACCCATCAGCCATCCTTGACTACTTCTCTTCTTGGCCTCTGATATACAATCTAACACTGAAACCAGGTAAGCAAACTTCAACAAATACAGTGTACTGAATTTGCCCACTTATCACTGTCCTAGTTCAAGGTAATACAATTCCTTCCCCAGAAACCTGTAATTGCCTTTTCTATGGCCTTTTAATTGACTTTTAAAATTGACTTTAATGGAGGACATTAACCTAAGTAAAAGAACTTGGAAACATTCTGACCTTACTATGATCCAAGAGGCAGAGGTTTTTTTGTTTTGTTTTGTTTTTAATATCTCTTATTTTAAAATCTTTTTATTGCCGAATGCTGTGGTGCATGCCTGTAGTCTCAGCTACTCGGGAGGCTGAGGCTGGAGGATCGCTTGATTCCAGGAGTTCTGGGCTGTAGTGCGCCATGCCAATCTGGTGTTTGCACTCAGTTCAGCATCAATATGGTGACCTCCTGGGAGCAGGGGACCACAAGGTTGCCTAAGGAGGGCTGAACCGGCCACGGTCGGAAATGGAGCAGGTCAAAACTCCCGTGCTGATCAGCAGTGGGATTGCACCTGTGAATAGCCACTGCACTCCAGCCTGGGTGACATAGCAAGACCCCGTCTCTAAAAAAAAAAAAAAATCTTTTAATTGATAAATAATTTTATCTTTTTATGGCTACATGTAATATTTTGATCCATGCATATGATGTGTAATGATCAAATCAGGGTATTTAAGATATCCATGACCTTGAACATTGATATTTTCTTCGTGTTGGAAACATTTCAAAAATCTCTTTTAGGGATTCTGAAATATACCAGAAATTAACTATAGTCACCCTACTGTACTATTGAATGCTAGAACTTACTTGTTTTATCTAACTGCATGCTTATATCCATTCACCAGCCCCTTTTCACTGCCTCCATCACCCTTTCTAGAGAGCTTTAAAACATAAATTCCAGCGTGTGCCGGCAACTCGCCGAGGGACTAGGCAGAGCTGTGGAACCGCCGCCAGTTTGCTGTCAGTCCACGCCGCCCATCGCGCTGCCTGCCCGTCCAGTGTCCACCGCCGCCATGGGAGTGCAGGTGGAAACCATCTCCCCAGGAGACGGGCGCACCTTCCCAAAGCGCGGCCAGACCTGCATGGTACACTACACCGGGATGCTTGAAGATGGAAAGAAATTTGATTCCTCCCGGGACAGAAACAAGCCCTTTAAGTTTATGCTAGGCAACCAGAAGGTGATCCGAGGCTGGGAAGAAGGGGTTGCCCAGATGAGTGTGGGTCAGAGAGTCAAACTGACTATAACTCCAGATTATGCCTACGGTTCCACTGGGCACCCAGGCATCATCCCACCACATGCCACTCTTGTCTTCGATGTGGAGCTTCTAAAACTGGAATAACAGGAATGGCCTCCTCCCTTAGCTCTCTGTTCTTGGGTCTGCCATGGAGGGATCTGGTGCCTCCAGATGCGTGCACATGAATCCATATGGAGCTTTTCCTGATGTTCCACTACACTCTGTATAGACATCTGCCCTGACTGAATGTGTTCTGTCACTCAGCTTTGCTTCCTACACCTCCATTTCCTCTTCCCCTTTATCCTCGTATGTGTGTTTACCTAAACTATATGCCATAAACCTCAAGTTATTCATTTTATTTTGTTTTCATTTTGGGGTGAAGATTCAGTTTCGGTCTTTTGGATCTAGGTTTCCAATTAAGTACATAATCAAGTATTAACAGCACAAGTGATAGGTTAACTTTAGAATAGGAATTGGTGTTTGGGGGCGGGGGTTGCAAGAATATTTTAATTTTTTGGATGAAATTTTTATCTATTATATATGAAACATTCTTGCTGCTGCGCTGCAAAGCCATAGCAGATTTGAGGCGCTATTGAGGGCTGAATTATTCTCCAAGTTGAGAGATGTCTTTGTGTTAAAATAAAAGCCCTACCTAAAACTGAGGTGGGGATGGGGAGAGCCTTTGCCTCCACCAGTCCCACCCCACCCTCTCCTTAAACCCTCTGCCTTTGAAAGCAGGTCATTTTCACTGCAATGTTGGACACTACAGGTATCTATCTGTCCCTGAGCCAGCAGGGATCTCTGAAGCCTTCTTTGTGGCCTGGCTTATTCCCCTCCCCTCACCCCATCCTGTGGTTTTTCTAATGGACTTTTAGGAATATTGTAATCTCATAACTTTCCAAGCTCCACCACTTCCTAAATCTTGAGAACTTTAATTGACAGTTTAAATTGAAGGTGCTGTTTGTAGACTTAACACCCAATGAAAGCCCAGCCATCATGACAAATCCTTGAATATTCTCTTACGAAAATGATGCTGGTCATCACAGCTTCAGCATCTCTTGTTTTTTGATGCTTGGCTCCCTCTGCTGATCTCAAAGTTTTCTGGCTTTTCCTCCCTCAGCCCCTTCTCACCCCTTTGCTGTCTTGTGTAGTGATTTGGTGAGAGAAATCATTGCTGCTCCCTCCCCCCACCACCATATATGAGTTTCAAGTTTTATTATTGCAATAAAAGTGCTTTATGCTGGCTTTTCTCAAAAAAAAAAAAATCTGATTGTGTCACTCTATTGCTTAATATCTTTTGGTGGCTTTCTATTGTACCTAAAATATGATTTCCTTAAGATAAACTACAAAGCACCCTGTATTATTTAGTTTCCAATTTCATCTTCTACATATTCAGACACATTTGATTTTTTTGTTTCCATCTTACCTTCAATCTTTGTTGAAATGCTGTTTCTCAGGGTCTTCACCTGCCTGTATTCTTTTCATCCTTCAGAGCTTTCCCAAATCTAAAGAGGCATGACACACACACACACACACACATCAATTATTCTCTGATGCAACACACTGCTTTATGATTTTTCACAGCAGCAACTCGAATCTGTAAGTATCCTGTTGTTTGTCCATAGCTTAATGTATAGAATCCTGCAAGGTTATCCACCTCATACCATCTCTCTCTTGTTCATGTCTATGCTACCAATAACTTATCTAACAAGTCACATCATCAATCTTCTCTAAGTAATTGTTAAATGAATTAAAATATATGCATGAAATAAAATGCTAAGAAGTTACATGCTGTGATTTAGAACCATTATTTTATAATAAAGAATTTCACAACATAGTAGATGGTAACATTGTTTTGTGATTAAAAAATATAAATTAAGAGATGAATGCAAAGAAAATAGCAACATGGGCCATGTGTGATGGCTCATGCCCACAATCTCACCACTTTGTGAGGCCAACGTGGGTGGATCACTTGAGGTCTGGAGTTCAAGACCAGCTTGGCGAACATAGTGAAACCCCATCTCTACTAAAAATAGAAAAATTAGCCGGGTGTGGTATATTTATTTTTACCACTCCCCAATACGTGTGTACTATTACCAACATGTTTAAAACCCATCAAAGGGAGAAAACTGTAGGAAATGTATTCGGAGATATTCAATGGATTTCTCTGTGCATATTTATAATCCATGTTTTTCACTCCCTATTTTTCTGTGATTATATTGTTTACAGGCATGACATATACTATCCAGGTCATCTGCTATCCTAGAAAAGTGTTATCAATATTTGTTTTATACAATGAACAGTTTGTTCCTAACACGATGTGCTGTCTAATGGAGAATCTTCACAAGTATGGATTTGTAGTTGCCTTGGGCTACCAGATGGCCATGCTGGCTTTGCCAGATCCTGTCTTCATGGAGATTAACATAGAGTAATTTCCAGTGTAGCTTTTCAGAACAGCAGGCCAATTTTTGTGCACTTATAATGTACTCCTTAAACCTCTTCATATTTTTTCTTAAACTTTCATCAGAACAGCCTACCTAGCATGATAATCTCTAAAGCACTCTTTCTAGATTTTATGGCCTATGTTTTGCTGTGAGCTTTTATGTTTCAGACAGCCACTTCTTTAGATAGCATAAAAATATCCACTAATTTATATTTTTAGTGACCATTTGCATAGGGGTACATGAAGAGGATAAAAAGGTTTTTTTTCCCTATGAGTTTACAATGTCATTAATATTCTAGATACACATTGTGTATCAGTGTTTATGGATACTCTTTAACTTCCAGCCACTTGACATGCCCCAGAGAAGGCAAGAATTTTGGCCTGGTAAGAGAGTAGATTGCATATACATGTTCAGAGTAAATTATTGCATAACTATCCAAGTATTTTTCTTTTCAATTTTAAGACCCATAAATACGCAGTATCAAGTCAGAGTTTGGTAGAAAAACATCCAAATAAATGTGACCATAGATGCTTTTCAAATTCTAAGTGAATGGAGATATGAGAATTTAATAGTACTTCATAATTAGCTACTCAAGTAACAGGAAACAATGTTGCAGTGACTTCAATTATCAGTAGAGATTGTGCTGTATGTGCCACCTTCAGATTTAAAGGTGATACTAGGCCAGGTGTGGTGGCTCACACCTGTAATCCCAGCACTTTGGGAGGCTGAGAATGGCAGATCACTTGAGATCAGAAGTTCGAGCCCAGCCTGGCCAACATGGCAAAACTCCATCTCTCCTAAAAATACAAAAATTAGCCAGGTGTGGTGGCAGGCACCTGTAATCCCAGCTACTCAGAAGACTGAGACAGGAGAATTGCTTTAATCCAGGAGGCAGAAGTTGCAGTGAGCTATTGGTCCACTGTACTTCAGACTCCAGCCTGGGTGACAGAGCAAGGCTCCCTGTTTTAAAAAAAAAAAAAAGAAAAAAAGAAAAAAAGAAGTGATACTAGCATAAGAACTGATATGCTTTAATTTAGCTAAGGCTAAAACTGATGTGAGGCAGTCATAGTAAGTCTTGGCCATTAGACCATGGAATGAATTCCATTTTGGATACATTGACATCTTGCCTGCAATTAGGTCCTTCCTTTGACCAACAGATCATGGTTTATACAGTATTTTGAAATATCATTTTACAAAATTGGGGTTTCCCCCAGTGGTGCTTGTTCATTTTTGACCAGATCAATTAGTTAATATACAGAGTCTCCTTAGAATTATTCTAATCAATGGAATATAAAAGAACTTATGTACATTTTGGATCAAAATGGATCCACTAGGAAAATATATAGCCTTAAAATTTTGGTGTAAGAATTAGAGAAAGTAATTTAAAAAAAAAAAAAAACATTTTTGAGTGAATTAAAATATTCATTTGGCCATATTTTAAATTCTCACCTAAACTGAAATCTATTCTATACATTCTATTCTGGTCATACTGATTTGCTTATTGTGGCTTCATAGCATTCTCTGTTATCAAATGAAACAAGTCTTTCTTACTGTTACTCTTTTTCACTCTTTTCTGGGCTTTTCTCAGGAACTTTTAAGTGTACTTTTTCCAATTAAAAAGTTTTCCATTGAAAATGCATTAAGTTTGTATTGTGTTGAGGCAGAATTGTCACTTCTATGTCACAAGAATTTCTCATCCTAAAGCGCGGCATTTTATTTGTTCAGACCTTGATTTGTATTTTTTGTAGTTATATTTTTTCCTAGGCATTACATAGATTTTACTGCTATTGCCAATGAAGGTCTTTTCCTCATTTCCATTTCTTCTTTTAACTGTTATTTTAGGTTTGGAGTAGATGTGACGGTTATATAGGTAACCTCATGTCTTGAAGGTCTGTGGTATGGATTATTTCATCACACGGGTATTAAGCCTAGTACAAGATAGTTATTTTTTTTCTGCTTCTTTCCCTGCTCCCACCCTCCACCCTCGAAGTAGACCCCAGTGTCCATTGTTCCCTTCTTTGTGTTCATGAGTTCTCAGCATTTAGCTCCCACTTATAAGTAAGAACATAGGGTATTTGGTTTTCTGTTCCTGCAGTTAGTTTGCTAAGGATAATATCTTGCAGGTACATCCATGTTCCCACAAAAGACAAGATCCTGTTCTTTTTTATGTCTGCATAGTATTCTATGGTGTATATGTACCACATTTGCTTTATGCAGTCCATCATTGATGAGCATTTAGGTTTATTCCATGTCTTTGCTATTGTGAATAGTGCTGCAATGAACACTCATGTGCATGTGTCTTTATGGTAGGATAATTTATATTCCCCTTGGCATATACCCAGTAATAGGATTGCTAGGTTGAATATTTCTGCTTTTAGCCCTCTGAAGAATTGCCTACTGCTTTTCACAATGGTTGATCTAATTTAAACTCCCACCAGCAGTATAGAAATATTCCATTTTCTCTGCAACTTTGCCAGCTTCTGTTTTTTTTGTTTTTTGCTTTTTGTGTTTTTTTTTTGACTTTTTAGTAATAACCATTCTGACTGGTGAGACGTGGTATTTCATTGTGGTTTTGATTTGCTTTTCTCGAATGATGACTGATATTGAGCTTTTGTTTCATATGATTGTTGGCCACACTGTTTTGCTGAAATTTTTACTTTCATTTTGGGTTTGAGAATTTGTGAGCAAAAGAAACCACAATATTATACTCAAATACAGCTAAAAGTTTAATAATCAACATAGCAAAATAGTACAATGGTTAACTTAGCTAAGGCTAATGGCAGAGCAAAGGGAAAGGGGAAAGGAATACATATGTCTGCACAAAATTGGGGATAATACCTACATCCAGATCAAGTAGTGCTGGGCAGTCCCAGAAACAGCCAAATGAAATCCCACTGGAACGGGTCCAGACAGTGCATCCACTTCATGGGGGAGACTTCAGACAGCAGTTGGAGGGTCACAGCTTATATTACCAAGCCACTAGCTGAAATTATCAGCTCATGTGAAAATATGCAGCTCTACAGGTTTAACCAACAATGCTTAATCTTTTACTTTGTGTGTCTCAGAATATTCTGAAACCAAGAGAATTGAGCAGATTCCCAAGTTTTGAGAAGTTCCACAACACACTCCCTTTCTTACACGAAGCTCTCAGGGCTGATGGGTATTTACTCTCCATGTAGGCCCATAGCTCACATGGGGTTATCTGTTGGTGAGAGGCCTAGCATTGCTTCTGAAGCCCAAACAAGTCTAATGCAATTTTAAACCCTTACATGCATGCATGTACCCATTCCTCCTGGGAAGGCTTTACAGATATTTGGAAAGACTTGAGTGTTGTCATCTGTGCCATTTCTGCCTTAGGTGGTGCCTCAGGGCCAGTAACGCTGTGGTTCTCACAGACTCACATAGGTACCATCTTGATGGTCTTAGACAAGATCCAGATGAACTCTCTGGATTACCAGGCAGACTTTTGTTTTCTTGCTTACTTCCTTCCAAAAAAATAAGTGGAATATCTCTATCCTGAGCCACCTGAAACTGGAGGCAGAGTAATACAAGCATCCCTGTGGCCTTTATTATGACTCTGCTGGGTGAGACTTGAGGCCAGGACAGCACTGGGTCCCATGCAAGGCCTGCTGTAACCACTCCCTGGCTACTGTCTATTTTTGCTAAAGGCCCTGGGCTCTGAATACAATAGGTAGCAAATGCAGCCAGGCTTGTGTCCTTTGGGTAGTGAGTTCCCCCAGACCCTGGGTGGGTCCAGAGGTGCGAGCCAGGAGCCAGGGACTAGAGTGCAAAAGCTTAGAAGTGTTCTACTGTACTGAAACTGAACTGGCACTGAAACCACAAGATGCAGGTTGTCTAATACTTCCCACCTTTCCAAAAGCAGAGGAGCCTCATGCCACGGCCACTGCCACCACAGGCCCATGGGGATTGCTACCAGACCACTGCTCATGACCCCTTAAGGCCTAAGGACTTTTTAGTCAGCTTGCGGTGAATGCTGCCTTAAGTACTCATCCTTAAGTACTCAGCTGGTAGTTGCAGTCCTTGTGGCTTAGACCACATTTCAACTTTATTCAGAACCCCAGAGGACTTTAGCCTGCAGTGGCAAGGCTTGCAGAAACTCAAGTTCCAAGTGCTGGGAATGACAATTCCCCTTTGGCTGGTTTATATGCTCCCTCTGTGGTGTCAGTTGAGTTTGGTCTGGTTTTTCTTTCTGTTATAACAAGACAGCACTGAGCTCAATGCCTCACAACTGATTCACACTCTCTCCCCCGAGTGCCCAAAAAGGTCTCTGCACCATGCTGCCACTGCCAGGGAATGGGTTAGGGGTGGCATTGGCTATTCGAGACTGTTTTTTTCTACATCTTCAATGCCTCTTATGTGTATACAGTTGTTAAAGGATCCACACCCATGGCAGCCAGAGTCTGGTAACCAGGTAAGAAGAGATTTTCCCTGAACTGGGAGATTTGAAGGAATGCCTTCTCCACCACCCGCAGCTCACAAGGTTCAGGGCAGAGAAAGGGCTGGGCAGCAGGTGCATGGTCCACCCTTCTGCCTGATTCCAATGGTCTCTGATTTTCTAAGTGAATAATATGATTTACAAGGAAGATCGTTTTATCTCATTTCAAGCCATTTATTTCAATTTTATTATTTATTTATATGTCTTTACTCTTGTATGTTCATAGAAATAGTGAGCATGCCTCTGGTTCCTGACATAAATTGAAATGGCACTAGCATTTTGCCATTTTAAAATGACATCATTTATTAGTTTTTTTGAAAATAGTGTTTAAGTCATTCCATTCCATATCTAGTATTCTTAGAAATATCTATCAATCATCTTTCCTTCATCGTCTACTGAAATGATTGCAATCCTTCTGAGAATGAATCTCTTTTATTACTGCATTTGTTTGCTTAGGGTATATTTTTCTTGTTTGGTGAATTGTCTTTGCAAATACATTATCTAGATGTTTTTCTATTTCCATTCACTGGCAAACAGAGACAATTTGACTTCCTCTCTTCCTATTTGAATACCCTTTCTTTCTCTTGCCTGATTGCCCTGACCAGAACTTCCAATACTATGTTGAATAGGAGTGGTGAGAGAGGGCATCCTTGTTTTGTGCCAGTTTTCAAAGGGAATGCTTCCAGTTTTTGCCCATTCAGTATAATATTGGCTGTGGATTTGTCATAAATAGCTCTATTTTGAGATGCATTCCATTGATACCTAGAGTTTATTGAGAGTTTTTAGCACGAAGGGGTGTTGAGTTTTATCAAAGCCCTTTTCTTCATCTATTGAGATAATCGTGTTTTTTTGTCATTGGTTCTGTTTACGTGATAGCTTATGTTTACTGATTTGCGTATACTGAACTGGAGTTTCATCCCAGGGATGAAGCCGACTTGATCACGGTGGATAAGCTTTTTGATGTGCTGCTGGATTCAGTTTGCCAGTATTTTTTTTTTTTTTTTTTTTGAGATAGATTCTCACTCTGTCTGGAGTGCAGTGGTGCTATCTCAGCTCACTGCAACCTCTGCCTCCCAGGTTCCCGGCCTCAGGCTCCCAAGTAGCTGGGACTACAGATGTGTGCCACCATGCCTGGCTATTTTTTTGTATTTTAATACAGATGGGGTTTCACCATGTTGGACAAGATAGTCTCAATCTGACCTCATGATCTGCCCGCGTTAGCCTACCAAAGTGCTGGGATTACAGGTGTGAGCCATGGTGTCTGTTTTTGTTTGTTTGTTTGTTTGTTTGTTGTTGTTGTTGTTGTTTGAGATGGAGTCTCACTCTGTCACCCAGGCTGGGGTGCAATGGTGTGATCTCAGCTCACTGCAACCTCTACCTCCCAGGTTCAAGTGATTCTCTTACTTCAGCCTCCTGAGTAGCTAGGATTATAGGCACACATCATCATACCTGGCTAATTTTTGTATTTTTGTAGACATGTGGTTTCACCATGTTGACCAGGCTGGTATTGAACTCCTGACCTCAGGTGATTTGCCCACCTCAGCCTCCCAAAATGGTGGGATTACAGGCGTGAGCCACTGCACGCAGCCAGTTTGCCAGTATTTTATAGAGGATTTGTGCATTGATGTTTGTCAGGGATATTGGCCTAAAATTTTTTTTTTGTCTCTTCCAGGTTTTGGTATCAAAATGATGCCGGCCTCGTAAAATGAGTTAAGGCAGGCATTCGTCTTTTTCTTTTGCCTGGAATAGTTTCAGAAGGAATGGTACCAGCTCCTCTTTGTACCTTTGTTAGAATTTGGCTGTGAATCCATCTAATCCTGGGCTTTTTTTGGTTGGTACATTACTAATTACTGACTCAATTTCAGAACTTGTTATTGGTCTGTTCAGGGATTTGACTACTACCTGGTTTAATCTTGGGAGGGTGTATGTGTCCAGAAATTTATCCATTTATTCTAGATTTTCTAGTTTATTTGCATAAAGGTGTTTATAGTATTCTCTAATGGTAGTTTTTATTTCTGTGGGATCAGTGGTGATATCACCTTTATCATTTTTTATCATGTCTATTTGATTCTTCTATCTTTTCTTCTTTATTAATTTGGCTAGTGGTCTATTTTGTTAGTCTTTAAAAAAAAAAAAACAGCTCCTGAATTCAATGATTTTTTTTTTTTTGAAGGGTTTTTGGTATTTCTATCTCCTTCAGTTCTGTGCTGATCTTAGTTATTTCGTATCTTCTAACAGCTTTTGAATTTCTTTGCTCTTGCTTCTCCAGTTAAATTGTGATGTTAGGGTGTTGATTTTAGATCTTTCCCACTTTTTCATGTGAGCATTCAGTTCTATAAATTTCCCTCTAAACACTGCTTTCGCTGTGTCCCAGAGATTCTGGTACATTGTGTATTTATTCTCATTAGTTTTGAAGAACTTATTTATTTCTGCCTTAATTTTGCTATTTACCGAGTAGTCATTTAGGAGCAGTTGTTCAGTTTCCACATAGTTGTGTGGTTTTAAGTGAGTTTCTTAATCCTGAGTTCTAATTCGATTGCACTGTGGTCTAAGAGACTGTTTACCATGATTTCCATTTTTTTGCATTTGCTGAGGAGTGTTTTACTTCCAATTATGTGGTCAATTTTAGAATAAGTGGTATGAGGTACTGAGAAGAATGTATATTTTGTTGATTTGGGGCGGAGTGTTCTATAGATGTTCTGTTGGTCCACTTGGTCCAGAGCCAAGTTCAAGTCTTGTTAATTTTCTGTCTCATTGATCTAATATTGACAGTGGGGTGTTAAAGTCTCCTAATATTATTGTGTGGGAGTCTAAGTCTTTGTAGGTCTCTATGAACTTGCTTTATGAATGTGGGTGCTTCTGTACTAGGTGCATATATATTTAGGATAGTAAGCTCTTCTTGTTGCATTGACCCCTTTATCTTATGTAATGCCCTTTTTTTGCCTTTTTTGATATTTTTGGTTTAAGGTCTGTTTTATCGGAAACTAGGACTCCTACTCTTTTTTTGCTTTCCATTTGCTTGGTAAATATTCCTCCATCCCTTTATTTCGAGCCTTTATGTGTCTCTGCACGTGAGATATGTCTCCTGAATACAGCACACCAAAGGGTCTTAATTCTTTATCCAATTTGCCAGCCTGTGTTTTTCAATTGGGGCATTTAGCCCATTTACATTTAAGGTTAATACTGTTTTGTGCAAATTTGATATTGTCATTATGATGCTAGCTGGTTATTTTGCCCATTAGTTGATGCAGTTTCTTCATAGTGTCAATGCTCTTTACATTTTGGTATGTTTTTGCAGTGGCTGGTACCAGTTTTTCCTTTCCATATTTAGTGCTTCCTTCAGGAGCTCTTGTAAGGCAGGCCTGCTGGTTACAAAATCTCTAAGCATTTGCCTTCTCTAAAGGATTTTATTTCTCCTTCACTTACGAATGTTAGTTTGGCTGGATACAAAATTCTGGGTTGAAAATTCTTTTCTTTAAGAATGTTGAATATTGGCCCCAACTCTCTTCTAACTTGTCGGGTTTCTGCAGAGACATCCACTGTTAGTCTGATGGGCTTCCCTTTGTGGGTAACCTGACCTTTCTCTCTGGTTGCCCTTAACATTTTTCTTTCATTTCAACCTGGTGAATCTGACATTTATGTGTCTTGGGGTTGGCTTTTCTCAAGGAGTATCTTTATGGTGTTCTCTGTATTTCCTGAATTTGAACATTGGCCTGTCTTGCAAGGTTGGAGAAGTTCTTTTGGATAATATCCTGAAGTGTGTTTTCCAACTTCGTTCCATTCTCCCCACCACTTTTAGGTACACCAATCAAACACAGGTTTGGTCTTTTCACATAGTCCCATATTTCTTAGAGGCTTTGTTTGTTCCTTTTTATTCTTTTTGCTTCAATCTTGTCTTCACAATTTATTTCATTAAGTTGATCTTCAATCTCTGATAACCTTTCTTCTGCTTGATTGATTTGGCTATTGATACTTGTATATGCTTCATGAAGTTATCACTTTGCATTTTTCAGCTTCATCAGGTCATTTGTGTTCTTCTCTAAACTAGTTATTCTAGTTAGCAGTCCCTGAGACCTTTTATCAAGGTTTTTAGCTTCCTTGCATTGGGTTAGAACATGCTCCTTTAGCTCAGAGGATTTTGTTATTACCCATCTTCTGAAGCTATTTCTTTCAATTTGTCAAACTCATTCTCGGTCCAGTTTTATTCCCTTGCTGGTGAGGAGCTGTGATCCTTTGGAGAAGAGGCATTCTGGTCTTTGGAATTTTTAGCATTTTTCTGCTGTTTTTTCTTCATCTTCATGGATTTATCTACCTTTGGTCTTTGATATTGTTGACCTGGGAATGGGGTTTTTGTGTGGGCATCCTTTTTGTTGATGTAGATGTTATTGCTCTTAGTTTTCCTTCTAACACTCAGGGCCCTCTTCTGCAGGTCTGCTGGAGTTTGCTGAAGGTCCTCTCCAGACCCTGTCTGCCTGCGTATCAACAGCAGCAGCTGCAGAACAGCAAAGATTGCTGCCTTCTTCCTCTGCAAGCTTTGTCCCAGAGAAGCACCTGCCAGATACCAGCCAGAGATCTCCTGATTGTATGTCTGTTAACCCCTGCTGGGACATGTCTCCCAGTCAGGAGGCATGAGGGCGTCAGGGACCCACTTGAGGAAGCAGTACCTTAGCAGAGCTCGAGCACTGTGCTAGGAGTCCCACTGCTCTCTTCAGAACTGGCAGGCACAAACTTTGTATCTGCTGAAGCTGTGCCCACACACATCCCTTCCCCTGGTGCTCTGTCCCAGGGAGATGGAAGTTTCATCTATAAGCCCCTGACTGAGGCTGCTGCCTTTCTTTCAGAGATGCCCTGCCCGGAGAGGAGGAATCTAGAGAGGTAGTCTGGCTACAGTGGCTCTGCTGGACTGTGGTGGGTTCTGCCCAGTTTGAACTTCCTGGTGGCTTTGTTTACCCTATGAGGGGAAAACCCATTACTCAAGCCTCAGTAATGGTGGACACCTCTCCCTCCACTAAGCTCAAGCATCCCAGGTCAACTTCAGACTGCTGTGCTGGCAGTGAGAATTTCTAGCCAGTGGGTCTTAGCTTGCTGGGCTCCATGGGGGTGGGATCCGCTAAGCAAGACCAGTTGGCTCCCTGGCTTCAGCCCCCTTTCCAGGGAAGTGAATGGTTCTGTCTTGCTGGCGTTCCAGGTGCCATTGGGGTTCAAAAAAGAAAAACTCCTGCAGCTAGCTCAGGGTCTGCCCAAACAGCCCCCCAGTTTTGTGCTTGAAACCCAGGGCTATGGTGGTATAGGCACCCAAAGAAATCTCCTGGTCTGTGGGTTGCCTAGACCATGGAAAAAGCATAGTATCTGGACTGGATAGCACCGTCCCTCCTGGCTTCCCTTAGCTAGTAGAGGGAGTTCCCCAACCCCTTGCACTTCCCAGGTGAGGCAATGCCCTTCCCTGCTTCTGCTCACTCTCTGTGTGCTGTACCCACTCTATAACCAGTTCCAATGAGATGAACCCAGTATCTCAATTGGAAATGCAGAAATAACCTCCTGCCTTCTGCATTGGTTTTGCTGGGAGCTGCAAACTGGAGCTGTTCCTATTTGGCCATCTTTAGGGTGGTATCTTTCTTTTTTATTAACAGAAATACTGGGTTTAAATCAGAGTCCTCAGCTTTAAATAAAAGAGTATCACTCTTTCTCTTTAGCCTTACCATGAAGTAAGGGTGGCTGTGGGCGCAGTTTCAGCAGACATAAAGTTCCTGCCTGCCAGTTCTGAAGAGAGCAGCAGGACTCCTAGGACAGTGTTTGAGCTCTGCTAAGGGACTGCCTCCTCCCTGACCCCTGTGCCTCCTGACTGGGAGACATGTCCCAGCAGGGGTCGACAGACATACATACAGGAGAGCTCTGGCTGGCATTTGTTTGTTTGTTTTGAGACACAGTCTCCCTCTTTTGCCAGCGTGTTGTGCGGTGGCGGGATCTTGACTCACTGTAACCTCCACCTCCTGGGTTCAAGTGATTCTCCTGCCTCAGCCTCCCAAGTAGCTGGGACTACAGGCATGTGCCACCACACCCAACTAATTTTTGTATCTTTATTAGAGATGGACTTTCACTATGTTAGTCAGGATGGTCTAGATCTCTTGACCTTGTGATCCACCCATCTTCGCCTCCCAAAGTGTTCGGATTACAGGTATGAGCCACTGTGCCTGTCCGAAAAGTCTTTTTAACTGGTTTCTCCATGACATTTTTGAAAGTTTTCTCTTTTTTGAAAAATGTGCTTAATTTCTAACTTACGTTTTTATCTTTTACATATTTACTTCTCTTTTTGTTGAAATGTGATTAAATAATATGGACCATAAACTCAAGTTTTAAAAATGTTAAATTTTCATTTGTCTAATACATGATCATTTTTGTAAATGTTCCCATGTACAGCTGAATAAAATCTGTATTTTCTAATAGGGGTCAATGTCTACTCTGTAATGCTATCATATTATTGCACCCCAAAGCCTAAAATAGTATAATACACAGTAAGAACTTAGTAGATACATAAATTCTGCTAATTTCTTTCTTACTTTTTTGGTCAGCCAAATTGGTCAAAATCTGAAAGAGATTATGGCATAGAGTGCTTGCTATCTGTCCTCTAATATCCATTATCTTTTTTGCTGGGGACATGGCCTCCAAGATAGAATCCAAATGCTCTAGTCTCCCTTGGAGTTATATGAGGCCATTAAATTCTGTCCAGTAAGATGTTAGTGAAAAACATGTGAGGAAATTCTGTGCCATTTTCTTAGAAGTAAGCTGCTTTCCTTCTGCACTTTCTTCCTTCCCAAGTGATTAGTTTAGAAGAACTTGGTGGTGGTGAGCCACCTTCTAATATGCAATCCAGAGACTGCAAAGGTTGTAGAAGAAGCCCAAAATACAGGTTGACTTTCAGAAGCAGAGATAGTATCTACCGCCAGACAGTTTACCAACAAAAACCTTTTTAAAAATTATGGCAAAAAACTAGTAACAGGGAACTCCCAGTTTCCAAAGCAACAGGTAAAAACCTCAGAAGTCACCAGTCCTTCTGAAAAGCCATGTAAACGGCTGAACAAAATGAAAAATCAACAATTCTAGCACTTCTTAGGTCTTCAAGAATGAAGAGGTACAGGATAAACTCATGCTCCCAAAATTGGAGACAGAGAGGCAAATACAAAAATCAGATCTTACAGAAGCAGAAACCTCTATGGGAACAGGCTCTGGGACAGTAAAACCTGAACAGTAACTGAAGAATTGCTGAAGGTTCAGTGTGGACATGTCTGAGAGTAAACGCTTCAGGGGGACTTGATAATCAGTACCCCTCCTCCAACAGGCATACTTTTGTGTGTTTTATTGTCTGGAGCTCCACCAGGCTTTCTGGGTGAATTCCAGAGAAGACCCACCCTTCTGCTTTTGGAAGTAGGGTGGAGGGCAGGGGGTCGAGAAACAATTTTGAAATACAACATAGCATTCTGTTCTTCATAGCATATTGTACTCTCAGGAGAAGGTATATAACCAGAGCCTAGCTTGCTGGGGGGTTTTATGAGAATCAACTGTCTAAACTGAAGGAAATATCCAACTCCAACCAAATTTAGCATCCTAGGTGACAGCAGAAAAATATCTAACTCCAGCCCCCTCAACTCACCATGTTTCACCTAAAAAGAGGGTGTGGTCTACAAAACATACCGGTGAAGTTTACAGTACAGAGGCACGGGTTCAGCAAAATAACAAAATCTAACCATAGGACTGTAGAACAATTCCTACCTCCAACACCTTATCACATTACCAAAGCCCTATTTATAGCAATTTGTTACATACTGTGAATCAGGCAAAAACTGCAAGGCATACTAAAAGGCAACAATCAATCAACCAATCAATCAGGTTGAAGGATTATAAGACTGAAAATTTAAAACAGCTGTAATTAGGCTGGGTGCGGTGGCTCACACCTGCAATCTCAGTACTTTGGGAGACTGAGGCAGGTGTATCATGAGGTCAGGAGTTCAAGACCAGCCTGGCCAATATGATGAAACCCAGTCTTTACTAAAAATACAAAAAATTAGCTGGGTGTGGTGGTGGTATAGTTTCATTAGGATTGGTACCAGTTCTTTTTGTATCTGACTGAATTTGGCTGTAAATACATCCAGTCCATGGCTTGTTTTGGTTGCTATTTTCATTACTGGTTCCATTTCAGAACTTGTTATTGTACTTTTCAGGCTTTTAGCTGATGAACTGTGGCAGAAGCAGCAGCAGACAAAACCTCTCGAACACTGAACTGAAAAAGAAAGTGGCTTTTTATTTGGCTGGGAGCTTTATTAGTTGGCAGAGGTGTTTCCGGTGGGGGGTCTGGGTCATGTAAACGTGGAGGACGTGACCCAGTTCTGAGCTCTGACCAGTAGTGACAACATTCTCTGCAACTCTTTCAAGGCTCATAGACAGCTTAGACT